ATCTCAGAACACCTTTCCCTCTCTACCACATAGTGAAGAAAGCTGCATGACTTTAAGCATCTCCTGGACTATGACTTCATATGAGACAAAAATGCGCTGAAAGAGAAATAAGCACAAAGTTAAATGGCTTCACATCACAGAGCATGGCACTAACAGACAGAAACTCCTACTTAGATGAAAGTCTGCAAAAAATCATTGTGGTCAAGAAATAGCCTCAAAACATTGAAGGGTCTTCTGAGGCACCCAGGTTCTCCTGATACGCATTTCTTCAAAATTCAGAACCTGGCTTTCAAAATCTTACAAGGGAATGAGCATTAGGAGCCCTTGGCCTGACACAGGCCTTCTGGAACTGCCAGCATAGAAACATCGCACAAATTCCATGTTTAAGGTTTGATATTTCAGCTATGTCAAAACTGCAGTGGGAAATAATCTGAAGAAAAAGTCACCAGAAAAAGCATTTTTGTAATGACTTTTTTTTTCAGCGTGGTTTGGCACTGCTTAAACTGACTTTCAAGTATAAAGTGGAACTCTGCCCTCATTATAAAGGGGAAAACCTGAGCTTCAAAAGTACTGCAACATCTATGTAATCATGACTGGATCAGATAAAGCTCCTGCTTAAGGAAGTTAAGTTTATTTCCGATTATCTTCTATCTCCTACCAACCTGAAATGTGCTACCTAGGCTACCCAACAGAAAACAAAACTCTTGAAGGAGAGAGAAGCTTTCTGAACAAGTCACAGTTGTTCCTTGGGCATCAGTGATGAGATGCGCAAATGGATGCTTCACAGGTACCCTGAGCTTGGAAAGGCACCGATTCTCCTCTGCTGTTATAATCATGAGGCTTCCAGAACTGCAGCTCTGGACTTTTGCTTGGGTTTTTTTGAGCAATTCTGCTATGCCATGCAGTGAAACTGTGGTTCAGGTTAAAAAATGTGGAGCTGAAATCAGACAATGCAAAACCAAACCAAAAAAACAACCACCAAAAAACTATCCAAAAATATAACAAAAACAATGGAAATGAAAAAAATACCCTTTTAAGGATCAACTTCAGAACTGAGTTTCAGGTTTCCCCATTAAGCTAATGACTGAGAGCATTAGAAGTCTATGAAATTTCCAGGGGTTTTCAATGCAGCTCTTTGGAACAAACAGCAGAATAATTGATTATTCAGTCTCTTGCTTTACTCATAACCCTTCAGTCTCCTCCTTTCAATCAACTTCCAGCCATACACAAATTAAAACAGAAGAAACAAGAAAGCATTGACTGTGAGCTCTTTACAAAGGGTTATATAAAGCCATCAGCAAAACTGTTCCTGATTCCACAAACAGCAGCAACAGGAGGCCTTAAGTGGCAAAAACCTGGCACTGGTGAAGTCAGCGCAACCTTTCACTCCATTCCGAGAATGTAAATGTCTATGGCTATGGATTTGATGTTATGCCTATGCTACATAAAATAATCCTGCTAATAAAACCCAGTGTGGTTCATCCTCCTTTTTCAAGGATCAAAAGCTATGTCTACAATACACAGGCAATATGGACCAGCAGGGAAAAAAAAGGCTGGTGCTGAGGACTTCAGGTCCAGATCACATATCTTTCAAGAGGTTTTAATTCCACTCTAGCCTAGTCCTATGGGTTGAATGCCTACTGGATGGCACTTCTGCAGCACAACTTTCAATTTTGTTTCAGTTGAAAGGAATCCAGCCCATGAGCTCTGGGACTGCTCCACAATGCATGTAAGACACGAGGGACAATTAGGAGATGCATTTCCAAAGCACACTCCTGATTTGACCTAACACACTAATGTGGATGCATCCAAACAGCTTAGACCATATTGCTGCATTATACCCTCTAAAATTAAGGAGTACCAAGGTCATGAAGAGGTTTACCTCCCTGTTAATAGGACTTGTAGCCTTCAATGTGCTTTACACAGGGGCAGCAACCTATGGTGAAGATGACTTACAGCCAGTGCTAGGCACTGTGTTTCTGACTCCAAATAGCTGATTTCCCACTAGCTTGACCTTGTTATCTCCAGGATTTTTATTTTATAAGCTCTACACATTTAGAAAGCTTAGCTGTGTAGCTGAATATTTTATCTTCGGGAGAGCTTGTCAGCTTTTACATCTGTTCTACTGACAAGGGTCTTCTCCTTGATGACTTTGCAAAGCACGCGTTATTGCACTGAAAACTCATCAGATGTCTCATACACCTGTGAGAAACTGAGCTACTTGCCTTCTTCGCTTGGGCTCTCCCTCCCCCTCCCCAGTTTTATAGTAGTCAAAAAGATTTACTTCTCTTCTAAAAAATAATACATAAATAAATACGTTGCAAGTCACAAACATTAAATACTTAATTTGAACCGGCAGAAAGCCCAGCTACCGGAATTCTACAGTGGTCTGTTAGGTCGTATGTCTCTGCATGTGCATATTGAAGGAAACAGCAGAAAAAATACTTTACAATTTGATGAACAACATATGACACAGAACCTCTAGACTCATAAGAAAGGGTTACAAACTCAGGAAAATACCTTCCATATAGAATTCTGCTGTCTCCAAGAAAAAGAAAATACCTGTACACTCCTTACTTTCACTGATACAGAACCATCATCATTCAGGCTTGATATATAAATTGGAATAAAGAAGCAAATATTCACTAAGGACTTGACTGAAGTTCAGGTGATAAAAAGGGACATTTTCAGAGTACATGTTAGATGTCAAAACAGAAAGGCTGATACTGTGCCATCTGCTTTTAGGCAAAATCCTCCCTTGATTTCAACCATAAGCTTTGCTTATGATTGGCACCATGGCTTATAATAATTTTACCATAGTTCTTTCTGGAGCAAAATAAAACATCACTCTCCATTTCATCATGCACACAGGAGGAACCCATGAGCCTAGTTTAAACTGGAAAGAGAAAAGAAGGAGAGGGGAAAATAAAAAGCACATTTGATTTCTCACAGTCTATAGAATTATCTCAATGCCACTGCAGACAGGAGCATTACTTCTGAAAATCACAATAAGCACTCATAGGATCAGAATAAGCAAATGAAAAGGCTGTGCTTTCAACAGGCACAGTAACAAAGTAATACCAAGTTTGAAAATATGCCTAAGTTTTTAAAACATGAGTGAAACTGTTGCACTGGTCTCACAATAAAGTAATGCATATACTCACTAAATAGCCAGTGATTCACATTTCTGCAAATCAGATTCTGCACCCAACAAATATCCTATACTGAACTTACTGCCTATTCTTTCTTCCCCATAAAGATACAAAAACAGAAGGGAAGCAGTCTAACCTAAAAGATGCCACAAGGGTTGCATTTAGCCCTTTCCACTGGAAACTCACCTTAGTTTCTGACTACGAGTGCTTGGGAAAGAATACCCTTTCAACATTTCACACTGCTGCATTTTCAAACACCCCTACTGCACTGTCACACATTCCTAATACAGTGGGGATGCCCTGCCTGTTATAAATTACTCTCATAAACCATCTATTTCTGCTGCTTCCTTTGGGGTTGCACCCAAGGTTAGGATCAAGCAAGCAACACTCAGAATCCACATGTGCAAGATCTGAACTTAACAGGAGGAAGCAGATGGTAACTGATCCTTGTTTTACTGCCCTTGGCATTTGCCTTCTGCAAGATGCCTTTGAGAAGATCACCAGGACAGGTACATTTGAATATACCACCTTCTTCCTAATGCCAATGAGCCTCTTCATATGTACCCGAAATCTGCTTGACTTAAAAACTACAGGCATAAGCAGACATCTAGTATGTAATGGTCTGTTTTCCCATATCCTGGGGTATTTTATCACTGTGGACAATGCCACAGAACTCGTTCTTAAAGTGACTGTTATGTGACCTTATTTAGCTGCTGATACTCCAGAGAACCTCAGCTGTAGCTTTAAGTACCTTCTGGTCTTGTTTGAGCTTTTGCAAGCATATACTTTAAAGGCTGTGTTGACATCTATGCAAAAGAACTGAACAAAATGCGGGGAAAATTTACCGCAGAGAGGAAAGAAAAGGCAGAGTAAAATAAGGGAGCAAAACTGAGATGGATTTGAAAAATAAGTTTAAGGGAAATTGTTGAGCAGATAAAGGCAAAAGGAATTGGAAAAGGGAAATCAGAAATGTTAACTTGTGATGGAGCACATGGCCACAACTTCGTATTTTCTAATACCCCATCATGCTTTCCAAGTGACATCCCCATCATATTTCTATTGAAAGCCTCTGCATAAGTGAAAGATGTGCAGAGGAGAGGTGCACAAGTCAGACTCTTGTCAGCTGTAAACATCAGTGAGAACACAGAATTTCCAGTATCCGAGACTGAAACTTTTCCACAGCCAAAGAATCAAACCACACATACCTGATTGCCATGTCTACAGACTAAAGGGCCAGGGAAAGAGGAAACTTTCACTGAGACATATTACTAGTCATTACAATTATATGAGGCATGAAGATGGCCCAGACTGGAAAAACTAAATTCTAAGTGCAAGTATCCCATTGTTCCTTCTCTGTCACTGGATTTAAGGAAAATATGCTGTTTCTAGGCAATGTAGGACAAAGAAGTCTTGGTTTTAAAACTTTTAAACTTTATCTTGTAGACATTACATCTGAATATTATCACCTCTCTTAATCACCTTCTGATGCCTGATAGTGCCCCTTTAACCTTTGTTAGTCAATTACTGGATGAGTTATCTCCTTACTCTCTTTTGAAGGAAGAGTTGTGCCCCTTTTCATGCTGATAAGAGACACAAAAATATTCACTCCCAGCAAACATTTAAAAGTAAAGTGTCTTGAGCAAACTACCAGGGTCTAAAGGTAGAAAGCTGTGGTTAACTTCTCTGTTATCTTAACTCTTTAGTCAATCCACCAGAACAAACAGGCATAGAAGACGGATGCTCTTTTTTACAAATTAAGCAGAAATAATTGTTCTCTGAAAGAATGGACTTTATAACATGCTTTGTAACACAGCAAATAAATCAAATGATTGGAAGTGAAATACCTACCCATTTTCTGGGCCGGCCTCTGGGTCGCTTTTCACCAGTGGCTTCTGCTTTCTGTAAATGGAGAAGAAACACAACATATTTTATACCTCAGCATTATTTAACAGACTCAGTAACTAGGAACTCCTTTCCTGTAACATTAGCCACAGTTATCTCTCTTGGGTGGCACTAAGGCCCTTCCTGCTCTATGGGTGGAATAATATTCAACACAGTGATTATGTTGGTTTTCCTGACATTTCCTAGCCAGAGTGGCCAGGGAATGCCTCACCTGCACCCTGCACCAAGGGTGCTCCTGGTCCTAATCCACCCCATGTCCAGGGGCACAGAGAAGCATGCCCATGCACATCCAGCTGCTCAGCATAGTCTGGGGTGCCCCAGCCCGGGCCAGCCATGGGGCACGCAGACTGTGGAGGGGAGCACAGGGCACTTTGGGAACCTGAGAACCCCCAGTAACACCAAATCTAGCCTTGCACAGGCTGTCAGAAATTTACTTCAGCATCCTCCTTCCTCCTTTCAGTATTTTAAACAAGAGAGACTAGGATGGGGACATTTTTAAAAGCACCAGTGCTATGTACAGTGGAAAGTATAGTCTCTGGTTATTTCAATCGTGATGCACTACATCAGCAAAACACTTCCTAAGCATTAGAAAGCTGAAAACAAACCTAAAACATCTACATACACACACAGTCACTGAATCAAAAATACAGCCTGTTTCAAGCCTGAACAAAGCACATTATAGAAGCCACAATTCCTTCTTTTAGTCCCATGATGTTCATGCATGAAATGGATTTGGACAGACTATTACCATGAACATGTGCGTTTGTATTGGGAAATAACTTCTCTACTTCATGTAAAGTTTTCCAGATAAGCTGCAAGTAAACCTTTCACTGGTCCAAAACACACCTTCTCTTCTCAGGTTTAAGGAAGCAGCAGCATGGAAGGTGCCCTAGAAGTGACAGCTATATTTATGTAAGCCCAGCAATTGGTCCTGGAGCTCAATGCAAGGGAAATAGGGATTCTCTTACAGGCTCTTTCATTAACTGACTGTGTGACACTCTGAATACTATGCCTTATGCACTACACTAAAATATGGGCTTTAAAATTAAAATTGCAGGTTATTTTCTCTAGGTAGGTTCTAGCCATCCACACTTCTCATCAGGTAAATAACCCTGTCCTACAGAGGGTGATGAGGATTTTGCTACCAGCTTTAGTGAAGGCAGGACTTGCCACATACAAAATCCCTGCGAATAAAGACTTTCAGCACACATTCTGTGAACGTGCTTTCACATTTCCATGAATTGGTTTTTTCCTGGTTAATTGTATGTGTATTTGATTTTCCCTTAGAAATCAACTGTGTCATTAAATAAATCACTTGCTGGTCAATGTCGGTAACATATACTGTAACCTAATGCTGTGTAAATCGGATTCCTCTAAAAGAGAACCTGAGCTGAAGAAGTTGTGGAGGAATCTCTACAAAAAAACTGCCCTGCGAGCTAAATGCAACTCTTTTGAAATCAATATCTCAGTAAGGAGAAAGCTGTGAAAAATAAAATTCACACTCCTAAAGGGCAAAATTATCACTCAGACCTGTTAAAAGAGTAAACCTGCTCTTTAGTCGTTTATACTGGTGTTACATGTAAGGCGAAACCCTCTTATGAGAATACTTGTTCAAGTGCATTTACTATATCCTGTAGCTGTCTATTTCAGGGTTTTGTTTCCTTTTAAAGTGTTCATTTCTTTCTACCTGATAACCTGAAAGATGCAAAAAAAAAGATGTGGCTTGGTTTTGACAAGCTGTAGCCCCCTCCATTTATGTTCACTTCACAAAACACTGGGTAAAAACTGAGGAGAAAATATTGATCTTAACAATAATTAAAGGTTAAAATTGTTCTGAACAACTCAACACCTGACGTACTATTGAAGCAACAAACACCATTTATTTTCCTCTGTATATTACCGCGCTTGAAGGAAAGACCCTTTTCCAAAACTCTATGAAAAGCAATTAACTTTATGAACATGAAAACTACTTTGGTCTTACAATTAAAGCTCCTACAAACCTGACACAAACTGTAAGTGTAACAGCAGCATATAATCCATTTTGATGGGAAAGAGAACATGAGAGACTTCTTTGAGTAACTAATCTTTGCTTCCTGCCATAAACTGTCACACAGCGTGGCCGCTTGCCACAAACAGGGCTGCGCTTTACCCCCGAGGAAGGGCCTGTCAGAAGTGGCTAGTGTTCCTGATGGCTAGTTTGGATATCAGTTTGTCAAGTGCTTGGGGACCTTTCACATTGAAAGGCACTATATTCCTGCTGTATATGATTTCCACCTCATGTTAGAAGAAAAACATTTCCATGGTTCTTATCAAAACCAAATCTTTCCCAGAGGTGAGCTGAGCAAACAGCAAGGCATGCCAGAGACAATGTTTTGGTACAGAGCCATTCTGTAAGTAAATAGGAAGGTTTCCACAGACTAGACTGCAGAAAACGAAGGACAAGAACCTCCAGAGTGAAGTTTTTTATCTCCATTCCAAGAAAGACAAAACACTTCTGGAACAACCAGAAGAAGTACTGGAAGTCCAGTAGTGATGATAAAGACATGAAGCTTAGGAAAATATTCTAACTCCCTCTGGATATTTTGTAGTTTGCATTTTGCAAACATAACTTGTGTTTTCTCCAACAGAGCACAAGACTGTCTTTTAATTTGAGCACCTGAAAGGTTTTATTGCGTATCAGACAAGTAATTCAGTGTTCCTCCACATAATTTTAAACTAATTAATAAGAAAAAGAACACGTAAGTGCCAAAGCATTCCCTTTCCTCTGAACCAGGTATTTGCATAATCAGAAACATGCCAGTCTGATGCCTCTTTGCTTTAATTGAAGTGTTGCCTCTGAAGCTAGGAACAAATCCAGAGAGAGCTCCAAGCCACCCAGAAGTAACACAGATCTCATCTGGGGAGTAAGATGCACATGTTCCCAGCCACCCTACAAGCAGCAGCTGGTACCTGCTTCATCAGGAAGGAAGCTGCTGCCTTCATGCTCTAAAGCACTTTCTAAAACTGAGATGTGTTTGGTCAGGGCTTTCTTAACATTTGGTGCTACACTGTGAGGCATGATCTCGTTCTGTACAGCTTAGACACAAAATCATCACACTTAAAGGCGGGTCGGGAATGTTATCTAACACAAACAAGTTTCATGAAAAATCATGCCATCCCTCATAAACAATAATATGAATATGTTATTTTTGCTATGTCACATTTTAGGAACAGAATTAGACTTGTTTTTTAATGCATGATCTATATGGAAAATGGGGGTGTTTTTTGCCCCAGGTGAGGAAGATGGTCATTCCAGTCACTGCTGCCTGGAATCAGCTAACAGTCCCCAGGCCAATTTGCAATTTACCTAAGCCCTGAACCACAAAGCCATCAAACCCTGCTTCCAAACGTATTTGACTGCCTATCATCTCTACCTCCTTGTTGCATAAATGCATTGGGCCCAGAGAGAAACTGAGGCTGTACTACTGAAAGCAATTAACAAGACAAGTATAAATAATTGAGCAGCTATAAAGTGCTCTTTGGTCATCTGTCTGTTGTCAAAGAAGATCTCAAATGCAACAGAATCCAAATTTGGAGAACTCTATCCACTTTGCAAAATGATCTGCTGGAGACCTCAGATAAAACGTGTCAGAGCTGTAAATCAGGTGAAATAACTGAGAGGTCTCAGGAGAAAGATCACTGTGTCAAAGACCTTTCCCAGGAATGTATCCCTCCCCTTAAAAAAAAAAAAGAAGTTATTTTGTTAAAAAAATAGGCTAGGCATTGGCTGAATGCAAAAATATCACGCTTCCCATGTCCTGTTTTACCCATTTTAAGCATAAAAGGAATCAGTCTTCTGCTTCTCCTATCTTGCTCAGAATGCCTGATTTTGAGGTCTTATTTTTCAGGTACAACCACCATGCTACAATCACTTGATAAATCTGATCTTGTTTTCCCTTTAAGCCTGGAATGACCAGTGTTGGTGAGAATGAATGAAGCATGGAGAAGCCAAATACATTTTCATGAACCAATTTAGGGCAGAGTCCTGGTCACATGCACTCTTCTTTTACCTTTGGACTGCTTAACTCGGGGACATGCCTTTCTACATACCAAGTTCTGGCCATGTAATGTAGAGACAGTAGTTGATTTAGTCACACACAGTACCACAGAGCCTGGTTTTCAGAAGATGGTATTTCAAGATCCATAGGTGTTTTCAGTGAATTTCATTACATCGATAACTACAATAAAACTCCAAATATTTTAACTGAAGGTGAATTTCACTCAAGAGTTTACTTTTGGATATTCCTGAGATATCCCTTGACATTTTCTTTCAAGATAAACACATAGTAGCTACTACTCCTTTTTTCTTAACCTCACAATTGTGTTTCCTCCTTCCAAACAGAACAGTATTTATGCCTATACAGCATTTTTGTCAAGCCCATCTACAGGAGCTAAACAAAGAAAAGCCCTTGAATGCTTAAGGGAAATGCAATGGGCTGGGAACACAGCTGAGCTTAACAAACAAAGCTCAAGCACAGAACACCCAGGAAACTAAAAAGGAACATCCCTGCTAAGATCTTCCTCCAAAACTAGTCATGCATTAGGGAATAAAAGGGAAATCTTCACTTTTTTTGCTAATTTTTAACAAACATTTTGAATGAATAACAGTCTGATTTTTTTAAAGACACCAACTTCGGTAACAGCCTAATTGTGGGGAATCAAGTCCAAGATGATCAGGAGGTTTTTTGTGTCTATCTCTTCTCATCTGCTAACATGTTGTGCTCCTTCTGTTTGCAAAAATTAAACTATTGGGAAATGGTTAAGTTTTCTATAAAACTCAGGTTACCTTTTGTGTCCAGTTTCTAACAAGCCAGGCATGTGTGATACGTGAGGCTTTTAAAAAAAAATGCCTATTACCTAAAATTAGAGTAATTGCCACATTATTAGCTGTCCAGTTGGTCTTGCAACATCCTGTATGCATTGTCAAGTTTCACATTGCTAATTTCCTAACAAGCGCAGTTTGTTTTCAGATGCCCCAAGGCCAGTTTACTAAGACCAAACACAAGCTCTGAAAGCTACCAAAAAAATAAAAAAGAAAAAGAAAAAAAATAAAAGAAAAAAAATCCCATGAAGCAAGGAATTAAAAATACACAACACAAGCACGATGCCAGGGTAAATTCTATGTCAACTGATTGAACAGCATTTCCTTTTCGAAGTGTAACAAAACAAAGCCTCAGTTCTGGAATATCTTAAACTCACTGCCAGTTTGTGCAATACATTTTTAATCGTGATGTGTAATGGTTTGCAAGAGAACACCCAATCAATTAATCATGAGTGCCTTCTCATGGCTGCTCGGTGGGTTCTCCTGGCCAACGTTTATCTTACATGTTGTGAACACTCTAATACATTTCAATGAGCTCCCTTTGAAACAACCAGGGCACACACTAGTCTTTAGAAATTCCATTAGATCCCAGTTGCATGTATAGTACCCAGGTTCACATGTAGAGGGGCTTAAGCTCAGTCAACCAGCTGTCCTTCTGAGAGCTGAGGCAGGATAGGAAGCCTTAAATAAATACATGTATGCATATGGATGTGTAAATATGTTCACCACAAAATGAAACATATAGCTCACTCCTATAAAAGGTGATAACCCTCACTGCCAAATGAAGCCTTCTCACAGTGCCAAACCCTTCCCATTCATATTACTGTTAGAAAAACTATCAGAATTAATATTACATAAAAAGCACTTTGAGATGCCTACTGAGAAGCTGAACCATTTTAGAAAAGGTTAATTATCAATTTGGAAAAAGAGCTGAAATATTTATTTGAAATGTGATCTCACTGACTTTCTTCTAGTCAGGCTTTATAAGTGGTTTATGTTTTAGAGGATTTATCAAACATTTATATACTTTATCTATAAACCTAGAAACAAGTCAGTCTTGTAATTACATACCTCTCCAAGGGTTGGTTTTTTTTTTATGATTAAAAAAGACAGGTGGTCTTTGGTGATTTTTTTTACATTATCAACACACAAAAAGGTTCTCTCTAACTAGAGCAGTACTTTGATGCATTCTGAAAATCAAAACATTACAATGAAGTTGCTCAGTTCATAAATCACATTAAACAAAACCCAACAACTATATGCACCAGAATAATCTATAAAGCTCTTGATTTGATATACCTACATATAAATCTATGTTTTTAAGTTACTTTCCATTTATACTGATTTCCAAATCACTCATATAAATGAAATAATGCCAATATTTCCTTTAGAAATATCTTTTTAAAACACACTTCTATGAATTACTTAAAATTTAATCTTACTACAAATATTTCTCCTAGGAAAGCCAACACTCCTAAGAGTAATATTTAAAATACTAAAGCTCACATTTGGATTTGCTAGACTAATAAAAATCTGCTTTCTCTCTTTTGAGGAGTGAAAGTTAAACTATTTTAAATTGAAACTGAGGAACTTTTTTATTATGTAAAGAAAAAACAAATCAGCAACATTTTAAGCTCAGTAGGTTGCAGAGGGGCTTTGATATATTTTAAATACTTAACCTGTAAAGCATTTTCTGCTAATTCATGAACTTCTTGACAGAATGTCCTGGGTTTGTTTCCAGCTCAGCAAGCAAAAAAACAATTTTATATTTAAAGAGTTGGAAAACGTTCCTCAAATAAACGTTGAAAACACTTAAAACAGGCATGAAACTATAGCCCCCCTCTAATGATTTACTATTTCTCACCAGTTACTATAGCAATTCATAACACTGAAAATTATCAAACTGAATATGGTCAGTACCATAGGCATACTGAAAAGTGAACCATAATTACATGAGACCACAAATACCTTCCCCACACGTTTTTGTCACAGATCTACTTAAAAGATAGTGATATACTTAAGCAATACAGTTCACTACCAGATTTCCTAAGCTTTTGTTTCCAATTTAGTACCTGTAAATTAGTGCTAACTGCTGTGTAACCATCAACATAAACAAAATCCCCATATTTGTTTTCCAGCTTATACACAACTATTTGCCTTCTCTAAAATAATGCCTACAGAAAGATCTTATTTGCCTTCATTATTTTCTAATGCTGAGCTTCCTCCACTTCAAGTAAAATTAAGTCACAGTTTCACATTGTATTTGTGATGTGAAGTCCATGAACTAAATGCAGTGACTTCAGGGAGCTTCTCCTATAGCTAAATATATTCAGAACCCCCAGAATTAAGCTTGCTCCCATCACCAAGCAGAAGCAGTGGCTCAGAAGACTAATAGCACTTCAAGCAAAAGTCTCTGAAAATGATTACTGAACAAGCTATAGTAAGCTTTTACTGTAATTCAGTGTTTACCATCACATTTTAAAGCTGTAAATTTCAATATATGCACTTATTTCCATCAACACATAATTGGATTTACTTCTAATTAACCTATGTTTGACAAAACACTTAGCTTTAATACACAGATTTGGTCTGGAGTACTAACAACTGTAAGTGGACAAGAAATTAATCTTCCTCTTTCAAAAATCCTCATTGAGAAAATAATATCCTTAATGTTGATTTTCTTACTAGATACAGGAGATCTCAGTAAACACATCAAATACAGCATGTTATTTCCCTAATGTGCACACTAGTCAGAAAGCAAGCCTAGGGTCTGTACCTAGGGTCTTCAGGCACCATGTTAATACTAACCTTAAAAATGCAAAAGATGTGCATTATGTAGCTTCTATTATCACAAAGATCCTGACTGAACAGGTCGCAGTCTAAAGGACTGGATTTTTTGCTACCAGTTAATGAGAAAACAGCATTAGGAACTCTAATAATCTCACCTTCTGAGCTGCTTTAGAGGGACTCTTGTTTTTGCTTCCTTTGGGTCTTCCTCTTGGTCTTTTAGGAGATGGTTCACCAGTTGGTTCCTAAATACAGGAAAACACGCTATTGTGGCAAGAGGCTACAACTAACCCAGAACATCTAAAGGATAAACTGTAACTGAGACGTTACATAAAACATGTGGATTAACAGTATAAATAAATAACAATACTTAAAATGCAACATGAAAAAATAAACAACTCGAGGTAAAGAAAAAATACATTTTGCACAACAAAAGAGCTTAACTTCCCTTGTAACTGCATAAAAACGTTGAAATGTTTGCTTATGCTAGCACAGAAGTTACAGAAGAAAACACAGTGTTAGAAGATGGCTATGATTTCCCTCATGTAGGAATGATTATTCAACAGCTAACAGAAGAAAACACAGTGTTAGAAGAGGGCTATGATTTCCCTCATGTAGGAATGATTATTCAACAGCTAATGTTTAGCCATTTAATTTCAACTGCATTTCATTGCAGCAAGATACAATTATATGCAGTTTCTAGCACAAACTTTCTTGTTAAGGGAAAAAATTAACTACCAGAAAACTGTAAAGTAAGCTTAGAGTATTTTCTTTCTCCAGGGTACAAATATTTTGGACTTTTTTTCTGTTTTCCTGCAGTCAGCATTATATTCACACCTATTCTAAGCATAATTGAGTTGTACTAAAATGCAAATGTAGAAGTTTCTTCAAACAGAGCACTAGCAAGCCAAAAAACCTCGACAAAGGAAAATATCTGAAACAAAACCCCCAACTCTGAAATGACTCGACAGGAACACTTATTATTTTAGCTGTTTCTTAACTAGCTCCTCTGTCTGACAGTAAATAACCAGTCCTTAAAAATGGGTATGAATTACTAAGAGTTCGGATTCCAAATATTTATTCAGTGAATCATAAACACTATAAAACTCTTCTAGCCTTAAATATTATACATTTCATTCAGATTACAGGATGTGGTAAAACTAATTAAATGCAGTTTGTTAACTTAAACCAGCTTAAAACCCTCCAGCTTTTTGAATTCCCGGGTAGGTTGAGGGAAGGCTGGCGAGGTGACTTCCCCAACTGCTCCAGCCCTCAGTGGCGGGCCCCGCAGGCACTGCACAGCTGGGCTGAGCACGCTTAAGGGGACGCGCTTTTCGTTCTCTTCCATACATCCAAACGCTATAGGAGAAAAAGAAAAGGGGGGGGGGGAATAACAGCAATAAAGAAATAAAATAGGAAGCCCCGGCGGGAGCTCGCAAGGCTGGGGCTGGACGGAGGAGCCCGGGGGTGAAGTGGGACCGGGGGCAAAGCCCGGAGTCGCTCCGGTGAATTAAGTGTCACTGAGGAGGGCAGAGCGGGAAAACCTTAGGCTCCGCTTTCATGCCTTTCCAAAAAGTAGTACTTTCTATACGATTTGCAGCAGCACATGGCTGGGAAAGAAGGGGGAGCAAAGCAGCTGCGTTTCTCCCCTGCTCGGGGCTCTGCTGTTCAGCTCCCGCCGTGTTTTCCGAGACCCTCGCAGGCTCCCGGGGCAGCGAGGCTGATGCTAAATGAATGGGAGTCAACATTTTTAAAGCCCACGGAAGCTCGCTTTAAAAAAGGAGCTCCCCAGGCAGCGCTACTTCCCAGTCGTGACTTCCGAGGGAAGCGTGGAAAGGGCTGCGAACAACCCCGCGCTGCCGGCGCAACCGAAGATCCCCCCTCGGCGGCGCCCGAGGAGGGGCTGCGGGGCTCCCGGGCTCCCGACCCGGCGGCGAGGCTGAGCGCGGGTCCGCACCTCCAAGCGTTGCGGCGACAATGGCACTCGGGGAGGGGAGAGGAGAGGGAAGGAAAGGAGGGAGGGGGTGCGGTGGAGATAATGCACGGGTCTGGCAAACTTAGCGCGGATTCAGGTCTTGCAAGTCAAAAATAGGAGCCCGGCGCGTCCCCTTCGCGGCTGGGGGTGCGGGGGGGAGGAAGCGGGGCTCCGCTCCCCGCGTCGAGAGCCGGGAACGGTGCCCCTCGGCTCGACCTGCTTGGGAAGGCGACGAAGCAAAGGCAATAGGTGTTGCAAACGCAGGGCAAGCCCCCTCCGGCTACCTCCCCCCACCTCCATCGGCAAAAGGGGCACCTCTCTGCACACGATGACGGGGTGAGGGGGGGAGGTGGGGGGGGGGGGCGCCAGGGGAGGGAAAAAAAAAGGCTAAAAAACCTATGCGACTTTCTCGCCACCCTCCTCTCCCCCAACCCCAGGATCTAGGGGCAGTCAGGGGCTGGGCTGGTCAAGATCGGAGGCGGCAGCAGCCCCGGTGGGACCCGACACACGCGCACACGCACACACGCGCACACACCCGCACGCACAGACTGAGACACTGCAAGGGCCGGGAGAGGAGGGAGACAGGAGAGCCCCGTTCCCCTCTCCTCGCTTTCGCAATTTCAAAATCAGCTCGAAATGACCCAGCGAGCGCTGGTTGGTCGGAGCCGCGCTGCTCCATGTTCCCCATTTACATTGAAAAGCCCCAGCTCGCTCCGTGCACAATAGTGAAAGTCCCGAGGCAGCGCGGTGGCTCGGCCGCCCGCCGCAGCTCCCGCCGCTCCCGGGGTCCCCCCGCCGGGGCGCCCGGCGGAGCCCCTCGCTATACGCCTCTGCACCGCCTCGCCGGGAAGCAGCGCACAACAAAGCCCCCCGCCCCGGCTCCGGGACTCCTTCGCTTGCAGCATAATACATGTACATGCCTCTAACATGCCTAGAGATCTGCGGCTCTACGTATCTATGCGATACTGACTTGTGGTTGCTTCCTGGGTCTGCCTCGTCCTCTCTTCTGAGGCTCTGCGGTTGCAGGTTGCTCCTGGGCAGCAGTGGAAGGCTGACCGGGTCCCTCACCTTGTGCACTCATCGTGACTTCTGCTGCTCAGCCTTAAACCAGTCTCTCCAAAGCACCTTGGAAGGGGGGGAATCAAAACGAGCTCTTGCTGCTTTTGCTGCTCGCTGCCACCACCACACCGGACGTCCTGGTGCTGCCAAAAAGGAGAAGAGAAGGGGAGGAGGAGGAGGAGGAGGTGATGGTGGTAGTGGTGCTGGTGGTGGTGGAAGAGGAGGGGGAATGAATCTCTCTTACAATTTAGGAATGGTTAGTAAGTAACATGAAGCAATTCAAAAAAGGGGAGGTTTAAAAAAAAAAATAGAAGAAGAAAAGGCAGAGTAAATTGCAACCCTGGAAATGCAAGAAGAGAGGGAAACACTCCGAGGGGAGCCGGGAGCAAACCAAGAAGGGGAAGAAAGATCCTACAAATTGAGAGCAAGTGGTGGCTATCGCGCTTGGATCGGATCAGGACAAATTAAGATAAGACACAGTGAAAATGGCCTGAGAACACTGCACGGTCCTGCCAGAAGCATGCACCCTGGGAAGACCGGGATTTCGGCAGCAGCGGGCGAAAAGAGCGATCATTTAAAAAATAATAAAACGATTTGGGAGATTGGGGAAGGGGGAAAAAAAAGGGGGGGGCGGTGCTGGGTTCGTGTCTGTGATGGGAGCTGCGGAGACTGGAAATATTATTATGCGAGTCCTGCCCACGGACTCAACTTGGGATGAGGGCTTTAAAAAAAAAAGGAAAAGAAAAGAAAATCCACCTTTCCCCGCGGGTGGAAAAACCAGGAGGGGGCTGTGCGAAAGGGGAGGGGAGGGTGCGGGGGGAAAGGAGGAGGAGGCAGAACGAGAGACCGAAAACCCAGCGAGCGGGGGCTGGCGGCCGGCCAGAGAAAACACGAGCAGCACGGCAGCCGGGTAGCGCCGCCGCCGCACGCCGCGGCCGCCTCACGTGTCCCGCACCGGCACGGCCCCGCCGCCGCCGCGGCAGGTTTAAAGGGCCAGGCCGGGCTCCCGGCTCCCCGCGCAGCGCTCGGCGGGGGACAACGCGGGCTCGGGCCCCCCCCGGCCCGCACTCATCCCCGCCCCGCCGCCGCTACACGTGGGTGCCCCGCCGCCGAGCGGAACAAAGGCGGCCGCGCCGGGGCCGCCCTTGCACCGGGAACGGGCCGGGCCCGCCGTGCGCCACTCGCGTTCCGGCCGCGGGCAGCCGCCGGGAGCGCGGCCCCTTCCCTCCGCCGTCGGGGTGGCGCTGCCGGTGCGGGGCCGCGCTGCCGGCGGCGCACGGTGCGGCGAGCTCGGCGCCTCCAGGGACGGCGGCCGCCTGGGTAAGATGTGGGCGGTGTAACCCGGCAGCGGGTCGGAGCTTCCCTGCCGCGACGGTGACAGGCGCGGGAATGACCTCTTCTGGAGAGCCCTGCCCCGGCATTGTTCCCATGAGCGCGGCTGGGCTGCGGGGTGCGGACCTTCCCCAGCTCCCCAAGGAGCGTGTCCCACACAGCCTTCTCCCTCCTTTGGCGTTTGGTCCTCTCCCGTGCAAGCCGCGGTTCGGCGCCCGTTCCCTGTGGCACACGCAGATCGCCATAAAGGCCAGGGAGGACCCCGATTTCTGTGCGTCCCCCAAAGAACGCTCGCACCTGGACTCCATGTGCGACTTCGGCATTTCCCCCCGTGCCACACCTCTCTCAAGGTCTTGCGCTTTGATTGAGAGGGAGCTACTCCTGTAACTGTCTTCTCGCATCCCCGGGAGTGGACAAACACACGAGTGCTCTTAGAAGAGGGGGAAAGAAAGAAAGTTACATTTTCATATATAATGCTGAAGAGGGCAGAGATACCGCTGCAATGCTGCTTGTACTGGCTATCTGGATGCATCTGATTGTCACGATACCTTATAAATTCTTAGCTGTCTACAGATAAATAAACACAATCAGGCAAAAAGTTACTCCAGTCAAACACACGCAGCCACTGATGAGCAAGGACTGTGCTGAGGAGACAGCTGAGTTATTTTCTGTGGAATAGGAAAAGTACACTGCAGACAGATGGGCTAAAGAAAGAGTAATCCTAGAACACTTCTTAAGTCTGAAAATATTCCCAAAGTGTTCTTAATCCAATCACAAGCCTCCCAAAGCCTGCTCCCCTCCCATCTCCAAAAGCAACAAGCTCTGGAAGATGGACACAGTCCACCTGTTAAATCTCACAGCTATCAGGAAAGTCTTGTAGTTCCAACTCTACTTTGTAAAACACTCAGTTTCCATCACACAATGAAGAAATCCACAGAGCCCTACATCCATTCTGTACATCAAAAGATGAAGCTGCTGTAGGAGATCTGGATTCCAAGTGGAGATTATAAAGTCTGTTAAGCTTTGCAGCAAGTAAATTTTATAACATCCATTAACCTCTTTGAAGCATATTCATGTATCCATTTCTTTGAAGAAAGTGCTACATACGATTGCTAAAAGCGTGTACCTCTGAAATTCCCTTTCCACAAATTCATCCTACATGGCCTAATAATAGTTCCATTTGTCTTCCCTTGAGTAGTTCTACTAACAATACCATAGTATGAAGATTCTTTACATACAGCCATAAGCAAATTATCTTCACATAGCAGCAGTGCTCCTAAAATCACTGTTTGAAGGCTGTCTGGATAAGAAAAAGACTTGGAACTTGCACTGTGATTGCACAACAGTTTGGGTCTTTCTAGGGATGTCTGCCTACAGATTGACTATCACAACAATTAGTATCAGAGAGCTGAATGACTCTTGGTCTTTTCCTTCTTTGAAACTGTCTTGATTCCCTCCTTAACCAGAAGTTCTTAGATTATAAACCAGTATGGTATCCCTGATGGCAGCTCTGGGGATACAAGCCTGTCTAGACTAATCCAAAGACTTGTTCTTACATCATTTATATCCAGAGTACACAGGTAAGCAACATGACATCCAGAACCCAGAAAGCCTGATTTCCTCAAGTGGCTGGTGTAAGCTGAGAAGCCAGAAACAGTTCTTGGGTTTGTTACAGATTCCTTCCCAAAAGAGATGTGGTAGCTGGTCCTTCCGCTGTTCCAATCCATCCCCTGACAGTATGGATTATGGTCCAGTGCAAACACCACTGAATATAACTGCATAATTCATTGAAGACAATCCAGCAAAGTTACTGGAGTAGAGATGAGCTACTTCCCACTAGCCTTGGCCTGTGATTGAAGCTTTGCTCTATCAACAAAAGTATTCCTTGTCAGTCCTTTTTTTTCTTTTTTTTTCTTTCTGGAAGCATTCATAATAGGGTAGGAAAAAAATTTATAAATATAAAATAAGGCCTGGTTTCCATTCTCCATTAGCCTACAAACTCAAAATTTCCAAAGAAATTAAAGGAATTTCCTATAAGATTAAGAAGACGAGAGTGAAAAATAAGATGGAGATTTTGTTGCCTAACCCAGGACACTTATAAAGAAGCCATTTGTTATTCTGTAGTCAGTCTGATGACTTGTAGAGGGTTAAATGCCCTCTGTTCCCAGAGGGGATCTTATGAAATAGTGCAGTTTAACAGCAGCAATAATGTTTTGTATCAGAAGACAGAGCTCCAGGTTGCAGCAAAGTATCTTCTAAAAATCACAGGTTAAATAGGCCTTGGAGATTCTAAATATCAGCAAGGTGCCCCCTTTCCCTGTTCACTTCTTCATCCATCTCCTTTCTCAAAAGCCTGTGGATGCAGAAGAATCACACTTTGTAAATCAACAGGCTCATGCTATGCACCATCATAAGGAGATGTCGCCTATGGATAGCAACCTAATGTAACCCACACATAACTATATCTAACTCCCACCTGTGGAAGTCTGGGAGCTTAGATGGTCTCAACTGTTAGTGCACTACACAAAGAGAATATTTAGTTTTTGTCCAAGCTGCTACTTTTCCTTGAAGGTCTGCAATGCAGTCCGTGATAGGAGGTGTATCACCGACTTCAGAGTGCCTGCTCGCTATGTTTTCTCCACTCCAGTTCTCATGGAAAGCAATCTACTCAAAAGGGGTAATAAGGTGAGTTGTTTAAGGCCCTGGCTCAGGGGGAGCACCAGTGGTGTGTGACTTTGAAAGATGTCTCAGGCCAGGGATGGGAGAGCAGATGGTAAAATCGAGGAGAATTTTTGTCCATTTCCTCAGTTCTTCACAGAGCTCACAAGTCACGTAGAGAGCTCCTTAGAGACCCCTCCAGTGCTAGAAGCTACCATGCCTATAAGGGTCACATACTGGTTGGGAGTTTCACTTTTTTGGCCAACCAGAGTAGCTACTTACATAGTCAAATGGGTACCAAGGAACTGGGAATCCTGATGCTCTGTTCTAGAAAACCAGTCCTCTCAGGAGAAGTTTGTTTTGCAAACATTGTTTGTATTTGTGGGAAATGTTAACTTTTGTTTTCCATGCTTCTTTTTGCATGGACTCCCTCTGGTCTCTGGGGATACAAGCGAGAGGAGGAGAAGAGCAGGAACATGAACCTTGAGCACACCTATCAGATAGGCCAGGATGAATCGCCACTCTTCTGCTCATTTCTTTCCATCCAACTGGTGGAACAAACAGCGGCTGCTGCTTCAGAATCAGCATCTGCAGATGGCTGGGAGAATGCTTTAGGGAAGCATGACTGCGGCTGACAAACAAGACCCAGACAAGAACATTAAGGCTCACTCTCAGGCCTCATCTGTACTGGGGAATTTTCTTCCCTCCTCCAAATTCCCACCATTGCTAATACGAATGCAGCTGCACAATTGTTAAGGATGTTGGGAGTCATAATATATGAGTTTTCATCTCGTCAGCCATTTGCAGTACTGTGTCAATTAACCCTCCTCAGAGCAGGGTTAACTGATACAGTGCTGAAAACGGCTGCTGGAGCCGAAAGCTGTCTATACTAAGGCTCCTATTGTTGCTAACCCTGGTGCAGCTGCAGTGGAATCAGCTCATGTGGGATTATTTTGGTAACAATTCCCCAACCTAAAAACAGCCTAAAAATGCAACATAGCCACCTTATGGGCCAAAGCACGCTTCCGCTGCACCTCAACAGCTATGCAGCTAGGCTGTCACCCTTCATAATCAGAGTTTTCCTACAGTCCTTTCAGTCCAGGAGGTACCTTTTGTGTTTCTGCATGAAATACTCAGTAGACTTCATCTCGGCAAACTGATGTTCCTGTCACCTCCGTATGTGGCTGCCTATGCTCATGAGCTCTCACTAGCTCTGGCCTTGAAGATGCATTGGGGAAGAGCCATTTGTCTGGTGGTGTCTTTTCATTGAGTCATACATTCATTAATTCAAAACAAAATTTGCCCTTTCACTCATGGAAATTTTGTGATTTGGTTTTCATTTTTAATTCCTTAATGGAGATTTAGTTCTTTGGTGTATGACTGGAGATTCTTGTTCACCAGCAGGTTTGCTTTTTTTGATGCTAACAAGGAAAACCTTAGTTACTCAGAGCAGCACTGTGAAGACTCAAGCTGACTTTTGATGGAGTAAACTTCTATATTGAATGAGCACAGTTGGCAGAATCAGTCCCACTTGTTTCCATGTGCTTTAGGAAGCAAGTTATGAAACAGGCTGGTCAAATGGGTGTTTCACCTCTTGCTGAGTAAGGCTAATACTTACAAAAAGCCACTCTCTATCCTTCTCCCACATCCACGTCCAAAACTAGAACAAGGAAGTGTTGTTTTGCATTTATTATACTTCTGAACAACTATTTATCAGGCAGATGACGGCAGCCAGGGTTTTTTTCAGTGCAGTTTGCAAGTGTGAAAATATTGAAGTCCAGACTCAGCAAAAACCTCAGTGAGAAACTCCAGCTCACTAAAGCCCTTGATTAATGACAAGCAGGTTTCAATTCATGCACAGCATTTTATGCAGATACAGAACACAGCTATATGCAGAATGGTGAACAACTGCATTTGCCTACAGATATCTACAGAGGCTCTACCTGCTCAGGGGCAGACACAGAGGAGATGCTGACCACAGCCTCCCAGCAGCAGGGATGAGCTGCAGAGCCAGTACAGGATGCTG